TCTTTTATTTTTACTAGAGTAGAAAATAATTTTTGAAATTGAAAATAGTTTTTAAAAGCAAACTTAAATTTTTTTTGGGGGGTGGTAGGGGTGGGTGGGGGTCGAGGATAGGGGTGAAAAAATGAAATTTCAAAGTTAAAAATATTTTTTAAAAATAAACTCAATTTTTTTTAGGGGTTCAAATTAATATATGTACATAAATGTACAAAATTCTATATATACTAAGCCACAATGCAACTATCATTGTAACTATCTCGTTAGCTTTCAACCAAAAACTAGCAAGATTTTTAGTTAATTGTAACTATCTTGTTAGCTTTCAATCAAAAACTAACAAGATTTTTAGTTACATATTTATTATTTAGTTAAATAATAAATATGTCATTATATGAGCTATTTATTACTCATTCCTTTTGAATTTGTTAATCTGATTTTGATCTGACACAAAGTTTACGAAAGTAAATTAGATTTTGAGGAAAAGCATTAAGTGATACTTGAAGTTGTCCCAGATTTTCAAAAAGACACCTAACTTTGCGTACGTCCTATTACCCCACAAAACATTCAAAATCACAATAAATACACATTTTTTACACAATATTTCCACTTTGGACAAAAACATCCTTCGAATGTGCAATTTCTTAAAAACAAAAAGTCGGACCCATTATTGATGTATTGAAGGATGCTTTGGTAATTTCCTATGATGAATTCGTTTTGTGTGTTTCTTTTAAATTTCTTTTACTATACTAAATAATTGTATAAAATATTATAAATCACAATAATTATTTACTTAAATATTCAAAAGATATAAAAATATGTAAAAGATCTGATTAACTCTTCAAATTTTATCGATGACACATAAATTGGACAAATGAAATAATATATATTATTTGAAAATTACTTAGAAAGTACAATAATTGACAGTAATTAACAGTAGAATATTTTAAAGACAAATTTTTTTTGATTGAATCTCTAAATTTTATTAGTACCACATAAATTGAGAAAGAAGAAATAACCTTTATTATTTCAAAATTGCGTAAAAGATATTACAAATCATACAACAATAATTAGCAATTTAGAATGTTAAAAGACATAAAAATTTTTTTACCATAGTTAACAATAATTAAAAATAAACTATTTTAAATTAATATTAATGTTTGATTAACTCTTTAATTTTGTCTTTGTCACATAAATTGAAACAAAAAATGATACATATTGGGACCGTGCTAGCACGGGCTCCGTTGTCTAGTTTATCTTATATATACAAACTACAATGTAATTTATTGTCAATGAGGTTCGGGTGAATCCCTTCCTGCCCCTACATCTGCCATGGATTAGTGACTGTAGCCAAAAATTTCACAAAGGTTTTTAGTAAATTTTAATTCTTGTGTTATGCATAATTGAGAATCATATCAATTTTACGGGTCATGAATATTATATACTTTTTGCGTTATATTAAAACTTGCTATTGTTTTATTAATTGAATATTATGAATTACAATGTGACTCTAAGGGTGTGTTTGGTATGAAGGAGAGTAATTTTCATGAAAAATGTTTTCTTGAAAAATAAGTTGATTTCTTACTTATTTTCTAGTGTTTAGGAAGTAAAGCGAAAAAAAGTGTTTATCAAGAGCATATATATATAATCTAACAAAAAACTATAACTATAGGGATGAGATGGTCGGGGGTGGGCTGAGATGGTCAAGAAGTAGGGGTTGGGGGTGTTAGGTTGGTGGGAGGATACAATAAACATAGAATAAGAGAGAAAATATTTTACGAGAGAGTTCAATCCTCATTTTGAAGATACTTGTTTTACTAGAGAAAATATTTGTCCAATCAAATATGGAAAAAATAAGAATTTTCTTATGAAAAATATTTTCCTCCATATAACAAACAAACCCAGCTAGCGTTTGACCACATGTTATCAAATATTTTTAAAAAAAAATCATATTCGACTGACTGATGTTTGGATTGAAGTTTAAAAATGTGCTTGACTATAGTTTTTTTGAAATATATTTCACTTCGGGTTTTTTGGTTGAAAAAATATGAAACATGACATAGTGCCGAAGCTAGCTAAGATCCTCCCCCCTTCAAAATTTGATCTTTGAGTAGAAAAATAGTCCATGAATTGAGACAGAGTGGTTCCCTTTTCATACGCGTAAAGCTGAAAGTTAACAAAGTCTATAACTTGACTATAGCTTTTCCATAGTGCTTCGTAATGACTCTGAACTTCATCATCATCATCATACGGAGCTATGGAAGCAAACGAAATAATTAAGGTGAGTAGTGCTGAATAGCCTCAGGTTCACGTAAATAAAGTAACGTGACATGTGCCCTCAAACAAATATACATGTTTTGAAGTCTGGTGTTTTAAATGGGTGCTTAGATTCTCAACTGTAACACCACTCGATGCTCTACTTGGTTAGGTTATGTAAGTCCAAAAATTCATCATATACACCCAAACAAGTGATTCAGCAATAGGATGCTAAAGATAAAATTGAGAGGATCAGTATAAAAGCTATCGTCCTGTCAGATAAGGGAAAGGGAAAAAAACTTCAACATCAAAACTAATTCTATCATCTGAGGAGTATCAGAAAATGTCTAAATGAATCTAATTAAATCTGCAAGGTCCCCACCAACCCTCATCATTTAACAGCGACTGGGTTGGGTTAAAGAGAATAGGCTAATCAAACCCCACTTGCGGGTATGAATAACATAAGCTCTGTCAATAATGATAAGTTCAACACATTTATGGTATTCTTGACAATGTTTTGCCTCTACTCTTCCTTCTGCTTGGTACGACTCCTTCCACTTCTAATACCACTTGTGCACCTTCCAATAAACTTCAAAATCTCATCGATCAATATGACGGGTAATGCAACAGCCAGTACTAACAGCCACTCATTCAGGCTCAGTGGAACAATACCAAATATTTGAGCAAGGAAAGGCACGTAGAGGATCAAAAAGTGCAGCCCAAATGAGACCGACATGGCCAAAAGAAGCCATGGGTTGACCCATGGTGGCATTGACAAGAGGCTTCCATCTTCCGAAAGGGCATTAAGGGAGTTGAACATTTCAATTGCAACCAATACAGAGAGGGAAAGGGTCATGGCTTTGACCTTGCCTTCCACAAAGT